TTGTAACAAGTCAGAAAGTAAAAAAAACAAAATACTGTAGTAATAAATAGCTGAAAAGCAACAAAAGGTGTTCTCTGAAAGTGACAGAATATGTGATTTAAGCAGGTGGTATAATATAGCATCTTGATTTTAGTTTTAGCTTTTCTGGGTTGCTGTGTTAGAGTGAATATGGAAATAGATAACATTCATTCACTTTTTAATACTAGGAGGTGTTTCCACATAATTGGGTAAGACAGGCAGTTGTTTTGAGTTTTTTAATTCTTAATTTTCTTGTAGTGTGCTTCATTTAAAGAACATTAGCAAAAAATACAGGCAGAATTTAGACTTTGTTTTCTGCTACTTTTCACTGAATACTTAGAGTAAGATTTGGAGAATCATCTGCTGTTTCTTCAGATTTTTGAACCAACAAGTAGTTTTCAGGATTGTTCCTTTTCTGATAGAACGAAAAGGAGACTTGGATGATATTGGATTTTATGATGAGAGAAGAGGTAATTGTCTCCTTTGTATTGATCTTGTGGAAATAAAAAAATTGTTGAATATAGAGGTGCTCCAGTGATCTCTGCTCTTCAAAGACTGTTGTTTATTGACTAAAATATTCCAATGCTGCTTCTGAAAGAACATTTCCTTCCCTACCAAATGCTGTGCAGGTACACAAAAATTTTAGATGTCCATGAACTGGTTGTTTAAAAAGTTCAATCTGAAGGCGCAGTGTGTTAGTTTCTTTATGCAGATGTGCATCCTCCTTCCTTTTCTCTCATGCTGTGTGGTTCTTGGTCTCACACAGTTGTGTTGAGTGTTCTCTGTTTTTGCTGGAATTCAGTTCAGAACCACTGCTATGTTTTGGATTGAAATAACTCTGTGTTGATATTTGTAACGTAATTGGAAGGAAGTTGGAATTGTGAAACACACTCAGATCCTTTCCTGAAGAATGGTTGGGACGCATAGATAGTATAATGAATGTTCCTGTTCAGTTTTATGGAGGTTAGGTGTTAGGTTGCTTGATTACAGAATCTCTTCGTATCCTTAAAAATGGAGAAAATTCCATCTCTGCAGTAGGTGGCCCAACCTTAATATTTGTAGTTTGCCATTGGGACACACGAGGAATTCACAGCTGTCTGCCTTCATGATAGTCTCCATGTTGTTCTTGGCTTTTTTCAGGGTGCTTGTGAGATCTGAGGAGTGTCAGGGTGACAGGGGAATTGAAAGCTGAAGATGCCAGCACAGTTTGGGCTAGATTGAAGTGACTGTCTGAGACATGAGAGGGCTTTTCGGCTTTGTTGTTTCAGAACTGAGTTTGGCGTGGGCCCCTGCTGCAGGTTAAAGCTCATTCACATATCTTTTCCTGTAATGTTTAGAAAAAGTTGAGGGATGTTGCTAGGCCAGTTCATGGTTCTGTGAAATAAAGATGTTTTCATGAAAAGTGAAGCTTTGCAGGCAGGAAAGGGGAAAAACACTTGAGTCTTTCGCTCTGTAAATCCTGTGGTGTGTTTGTTCCCTGACCACCCTTCCCCCTCCACAATGTCTTGCATAGGGGGCTTGCAGATAAAATCACCAGCCCCATCCAGACAGGGTGGGAGCAGTGGAGGTGGTGACAGTGTCAGCAACAGTTATTTCTGTGTGTCAGAACAATTACTAAAAAATAGTACTGGTACCGTGCGCAGTTCTTGTTGTCTGGCCTACCTTTTTGTGCAATTATTTCAACACTCTAAAACCACACATAGCATTTACAGGAAAGTTTTTGAAGTGACAGACTATCTGTGGGCAGTGTGTGCAGCCTTAGTTACTCATAGCTGTACATTGGCTTTGTTTGTGGCTTCCATGTAAGTATTTAAAATAGTTTTTCTGAGAAAGCCAGTACATGTAGATTATGGCTGACTTTAGTTCCGGGTAGCAAATATACCTCTAGTTGAGACCATCAAGGTATTTATCTGGAAACTGTGTTTCAGTAAGGTCTGCGTGCAGTGCTGTGATATTAGAAACATTCTCAAACTTAAAACTTGCCTCCATGGTCTCCTAAAGAGTTCTCAGAGTAAACAAAATTTGCTTATAAGATGGTTTTCTTGCGTTTCCTCTTCTCTTCATTTAGAATCACTGGGACCTGGTTATAGCAGCCACATGCTTGAATACAGAATGAAAAAAATGCTACTGATCTGGATGGTAGTTGATGTGCAGAAGGAAAAGGAGTACATATTATATGTTGTTCTTTGAATTTCTTCTTTACTTTTAATACAAGTAGGCTGTGACAGCCAGAAGTACCTTACAATGGATTAATGTGCTTTGGAATTTGACAGATTAGAAGAAAGTCTTCAAATAAATAAAGTATATGCACACACACATATATGAAGGATTGTGGATCTTTTATGAAAAATTTCCTTAAGGTGGCTATCCTTTTATTCTACATTAATGTATTCCAGGTTGTCTTTCATTTATAATCCAGTAGGTGTTTTCTTTAATCTTTGAGCTGTCAAAATAACGAGCTGTTCATGGTGTAATTTCTCCCCCCCCCCCAAGCTTAAGTAATTGTTACCAGAAGAAGTAGTTTGTTGGTTTGTTTTGGTTTTTTTTTTTTCCCCTTTAAGTTTACATTGAAGTGCTCTTAAACCGTGATGGGGTATAAGGTTTGTCTGGGAGCCCAGCAGTACCTACAGTGCCTGCTGCAAGGGATCACCTGTGAGGCTTAGGTCAAACAAGAGGACCCGAAGGATGTCTGCCAATCTGCACGGTTTACATGGATGTTAATTTCCTACTCAAGTCCTGGTTGGATTAAAGGGCTCAATTATGTCAGAGCTTCTGGCAGGCTGTGAGTAGTTACTCATGTGTGTAGCGTGACTACCGGTGGTGTCCGGACAGGCAGGCAGTGGCAGTCTGATCAAAGGAGAGGAATCAGCCCCTGCTTGCAAACCACCCTTTGCCTTAGCCCAGCTGCCCTCACACCCAGCCCCGTGTTTGTGGGCTCCTCTGCCAGAAACACCGATGGTTAGTGGCCCCTGCCCAAGTACCACACCGAGGAGGGATGGATTGCTCTTGGGAATAGAGTTCTTGAGCTGACGTGCCACGGCTTGGAAGTGCTGGTAGTTCTTCTGCCTCTCCCCATCTCCATAGAGATCCAGGGACTGGCTTAGAGCTGGTCTGGGCCCCAGCTGTCTGTCCACCTGGCTTTCAGGTCCTCAGTGGCCTCAAACCCTAGATAAAACGTGGAGCCACTTGTGCAGACTTGAAAATCTCTAATAAAGTACATACAGGTCAGATAATTTGCTGCGAGGGGTTTCACGCCTACTGTAGCTATTCATTTATATGCAAGTGCTTCATTACAATGAAAGTGCTCCTACAAGCCACAGGCTGCTAGAAGCCCTTTCTCGAGAGAGGAAAAAGAGAATTTTCCTTTTGTCCCTTAAGGTATCTGCAGCTAAAATAGATGATTATAATTCGCTCTGCAAGCAGTAAGGTATAAGGAAATGCACAAGGATCTGAAAACTCCAGCAGCGATAGTGACTACATTTTTTGATGGCCTCTTGTGGCAAGCTGCAATTTTTGGTAAATTTTAACTGTTCACTTAAATACTGAGTAGCTGTAGGGCCATAGAGATATGATCTGGTGCAAGTGGGTTCATGGAGAGCTTCATAACTGGTCAGATGATTTGCAGTTTGCCTGCTCTGTTTTTTTTTTTACCCAGCAGAAGTGAAAGGTGGATGGTTGTTTTTACATCAAAAATAAGTCAGTTATATTCTCCTGGTGCTTGTGAAAAATAACTGGTGGGTCATAACATAGATGGGCAATGAATTTCCATGGGGCATTCTGTTGAAAAAAATCGTGGTGAGAATCAGACTAGATTCCCTTCTCTATAGCACAAAAGACCCAGAAAATAGCTGAAAATACTGTTTTAAAAGCAAAAGTGGGTTTGATGTAGCTGTTTGATACCTGTTACTGCAGTGGTAGCCACAAAAGATGCACTGTTGAAGGTCTCTGAAAAAGACCCTGTATAGGCTCTCCCTTTCCTCAGAGACCCTCCAGTATTGAGCTGTTTCTTGTAATTTTCCTTGGCCTGTTTCTTATGGGGCCTCTGTCTTGTGAGCCTTTATAATCTTTTGGATCAAGAATGAAGCCCTCACATGTGCAATGGAGACTGTTTCTTTTTTTTTTAGGTGCATCATCTTCCCACCTGCACCTCTGGGAACCCCCATACTGAGTGAAATCTACCTCAAACCCACAGTGACTTGTATTTTAGAAAGCACCATCCCTTTACATAGCTCACACCCTTCTAAAAGCTCTGGGATGAACAGTAGGAAGTATATATGCTAAATAGAGCCTGATGTAACGGTATTACGAGTCTGCATATTGAGAAGTGTGTTAGCTATAGTAGTCTTTGGATAAATGCCTCATTGTGCCCAATTGTGATTGTTTTGGAGTGGCCCACTGTTCTCCTATGATAACAACAAAATAAGTACAAGCCTGCAAGGTCTTGTCATAAATATCCAGATATTCTTTTCTGAGCTTGTGCATAATGCAGTTGTTCAATAATGCAGGAGAGTGTTGGAGCTTCTTTATATAGATTTAGTAAAGGGAATTGTTTGTGGGGCTGGCTGGTTTCTAACCTTTCTGAGCTTTCTCTAGTACATCTCGTACCAGCATAGGAAGGGTCCCAGACTCTTAACCAGTGTCAGTAGTTGCTACTGCAGTGCAAATGCTGAATAATTTCGTACTGAGTAGTGATCAGGCAGCTTGGGATAGGAGAAACAAATTAAATTTTAGAAGGATTGATGTGTATGCTTTTTATCAGGTCTGCTTAATATTTTTTCCTTGTGTTAAGTGCAGTGTCAGGATCTTGGATCGTGGGATGCAAATGTAGCATGTCTGGTTTCTGTCAGGAATGGTCTGCCCTGGTAATCTGGGAAGCTAAAGCCAAACTTTTGGGGGAGGATTTATTATAATTCCCCTATCAGAACTTGCCCTTCAGGTTTATGTGGTAATGATGTCAAGGCCTGTTTCTTCTCTCTTCTCAGAAAGGATGTGTTTCTGACTGCTTCCCAGCTCCTGGCTGTGCTGGAGGCTCCAGAGGGGTGGCAGGTATGTATAGAGAAACTAGAAGTACAGCCCCACAGCAGAAGGGGGACTGTGGTGGATTCCTGCTGACTCTGTTATAGGTGTCTTTGTTAGCAAAACAAACAAAGACACTGCAAGAAAACTAGGGACTTACGGCATACTGAAAAATGTAAATAAGGGGTTTATTATAAGCTTGATTTATTGCTTTCTTTTGCTCCACGACCAAAATACTCAAGAAACTTAGCAGGAAAGGGACTTTTTCCACTTGGAAACATACTGTAAATTTACCTGTTGTTCAGTTACCACTGAATGGTCATGTTCAGGATTGCAGCTTCCCTGTATTACACAGTTGGTGTTATGAGGGGCTATTGGACTTGCTTTTGGAGAAATTTGGCTCTGAAAGTGTTGCTGGACACTGAGGATAGTTGTTTTTTTTAAAGCACATGTGCCTGTTAATTTAGACATGCAGGTACTTTCACAAGTGCCAGTAGTTGCCAGTAGGCATCTTCAAATAACTTGAATGACTCACTCAGTCCTATGAGCCCCAAAAGAAATGAGAAGGAAAGTGAGCAATATTTTCGACTGTGGCAGTATGTTTAATTGGTAGGGGAATATGAACTTGGAATTTTAGGGAGTTTATTTCTTGCTCATTTGGGTAGTTTTCAGTGCAGCATTGACACTGTCACAACCCAGGGTCAATATCTGGGAGTACCCAGCGAGGCAGAAAAGGGTCTTAAAACGTGCCCTGGGGAGCTCTTGAATTCTGTATTTGGGATAGCTCAGCATCCAAGTTAGTTAGCTCTTTCCTGTTGCTTTTTGAAATTGTAGCCTATTTTTAATGATCCACCCCTAGTAATCTGAAAATTAAGAATTTTAGTCTCCTATTTGTCTTGTAATTTTTTTGTGTGTGTAATACTTTATCTTTGTGTAATCTTCACCCCCAGAAAAAGAGCATGGTGGTAGAAGAAAAGGAATGTGAGTTAAAAAAAAAAAAAAGATACCTCTTTAAGTATTCCACTGAAGATAAAGATATTCTCTGCTTTAAGCGCAAGCATTAGTTTCCTAAGTACTGCTTGATTAAGCATTTTTATCATGCAGAATCAGAAAGTACTAATTTCTGACCTAAAACTGGTAATCTTATTTTCCTAAGAAATTTTATCCTCTTTTTGCACTAGGGCACATCCTCCAGCAGGTAGAAATAAAGACCACATCAAATTATCTTAAAAATCTTTGTCTAATTTTTAAGCACCTAGCAACTACAAAGTGTTTCAGTTACAGTTTGAAATGTAAATAATCCCATGGTCTACATATATGTTAGTCATAAAGGGCTACTGGTCTGCTAGTTTGAGGTTGTGCCTTACTTCAGCAGAAAGTGAGCCCTAATGTGTTCTGTAATGAAAAGATTGTAAATAATGATGTTTTTCATGAGACCGTTTAAAAATGGCACGATGCTTGGGGTTTTGAAAGGGTGAGAACTAAAACAAAGGATATATCCAACCTGGCCTTACTGGTCTGAAATTCACAAACTTTGTAAATAAAACTCAGCTCTCAGAGGTTATAAAACAGGTATCAATAAACATTGAAGCAGGCCTGTATTCTGTTAAAGCTTCGTAAGCTTTCAAAAGCAAGTTATTTAAGGAGAACTTGCAGTTTATGCCCTCTGACAGTTGAATCCTTTAACCCCTCCCTTTTCTGCTGGAGGAAGCAATTTGCTCATAAATTTGCCTGCCTCTGCATATTGAGATTCATATCCCTCATCATGGTAACATACAAGTTTTGCAAATGCATAATCTTTAATTTTTTTTTTTTTATTCTAAAAATAGCAGGGTAGGGCTGCCTGATAAACCTGCCATGGGTTTTTTTTGCTCCTGACAGTAAGGAAAGGAAGGGTGTCTTGCAGTCGGTTGTTGCTTACTGTGAGGACCTTGTTTGCTGTGCCTGGACAGCCAGTGAGTGGTGTGAAAGTGATTTGATGGAGAGGTGGGGAAGTAGTACATATTGTAGAGGGCCTTCCTTAGGGCCCAAAGGAAGGTGGTCTTTTGCCTGGCAGCCTCACTGGGGGCTTGCCTCACCCGCGGTCACGTAGTTGGGCATTGCTTGTGTTGGGGAAGACGACGGGGTGATAGCATGGGTGGGAGCAGAAGCACAGCGTAGGTGAGGGATTGCAGGGGAAGATAAACCCTGTGGAGGAGAATAAAGTGCAATAGAGAATGGGAGGAAAACGATGGGAACACTTAGCATGGCTGGGGAATCCTGAAAAGAGTGGCAGAATTAGGCTCATTTGGCTTTCTGCAGGATGCTTTGTGATGGTCATGATCTTTTATTGGGGATCGCAGGGATCCCAGCTACAGTACTGACTGCTGCTGGTATGTTAGTGAATTCTCCTATATTTTAACCTTCATATGGAAAATAAAGATAGATCCACTTAGCAGTTTGTGTAATATCAAGCCAAACTGAGAAGTTGCACAATGCACAGTGTTTCTTAGAAGGAAGACTATTTCAAAACCAGTGTTGTGAAATTGGTCATTTCTTAACTTTGAAATTCCAGAATTTAGATAACTTATGCAAGATTTGTGCATACAAGATACACATTTGGATCCAGTTTTACCATGCTGACTGGGATAGTAGACACTGGCCTCTGGTTTGCATTATTTATTAAAAAAATCGGGTATTGGTAAGGGTTGCTGAATTGACATCTCTGAAAGATGAAGTTTTATGTTCACAGGTACTTCTGTGAAGTAAAGATGGCAGTCTCCTTGCCACTGTTGGTTTTTCAGCATCTCCCACTGCAGCACTAGTGTTTTGCATTTTTCTAGAAGGTAGAGCAAAGCACTTTGACTTTGCCCAGTGACACAGGCAACGTGAGAGACATGTTTTTGATCTTGGTAACAGTCAATATGTGCCATTTCAACTCTGTGCTTTCATAATTTGTGCTAATATTACTTATTAGCAGTTTTGCAGCCTGAAATTTTTCTAACAGCTTTGATTTTCTGTCCTTTGAGAGAGTAGGAAGTTGGCTCTACCTATTTCTCTGCCTGTGCATTAAAATTACACATGTGAATGTGAATGTTCATAGCTCTGAGCTTCCAGCTGTGCTCTGACAAGCTGATGGGAGCTCTGTTGATTGTTTCTTCTTCTATAGTTGCCCTGTTTTTAGCCACCACAGGCACAAGCAGTATGGAAAACTCATGGAAGTAGTGTACATTATTTTGCTGCCTTTCATCATTACACACTGATGTAAAATCAGCACCAGAGTGTGAAAACTAAAATTACTGATTTAAATTTACCTCAGTTGTTAACGGTTTTGCAGAAAAGTAGGCCTGTGGTCACTTTAATTAGAGTTTAAGTATCTAACCAAGCATTTCAAGTTTCTTTCTGCTTTACTTTTTCAGTGTTCTTATTTTCAAGCAAATTGTGTCTCCTTTTTCAGAGTAAAACTTTAAACATTAGGAAACCTAAGTTTTCAGAAGTGCAAAGCACTCAGATCTAATCAAAGCCAGTGAACACTAATGGAACTGAGTTAATTTGGAAATCAGGCCATTGTCTGGGCCTTTTTTTTTGTTCTTCCTTTTTCTACCCCTTGTGTTACATAAAAAGAGGTTCATATTAGATTATGGATGACTTCCCATTAGATGTCAGTGAAGGATAATTTTTAGCACAGGGAAGGGAGGGGTAAGGGAGAGTAATTAAATTGAAGGCTAAATTAAAGGACAAGGTCCTGAGTGCATTTTCATCTCTATTTAAAGTCATAGAAATGAGAACAAAGTGGATCTTGCACAATTTGGCATGTAACATTCAGTGTAGTATGTCTCACCCCTTTTATAACGCAAAATTTTACCACAGATCAACAAATAACGTCCCACTTAATAAGTCAAACTTATTAATGTGAAAAAAGGACCTGTCTTGCAAGCCTGTACTGTAGGAATGAAATCACAGATTTCCACTTTGTGTGGCCAGAGCAATTCTCAGTCCACACAGCAAAGTAGGTGCTAAAAGCAGTCCAGCTAGACCTTTTGTCTTCTTCAAAAGATACTGTCATTTTTTTCAGGTTTTGCTGTGCTTTTGCATTGTCTGAGGAAGGTGAGCTAGGCTAGGAATGTAACCATGGCTGTAGGGAAACTCAAGGTCATCCTTTGGTAGGGCTTGGATTTGCTAGTCCTGTTTTAAAGTCCAGAAAATTTACAGGACTTCAGAATTACTCTGGAGTAATCTCTGCCATGTGGTAACTGATAGCTTATAGATGTCCTGGCTGTCTCTTTTAAGTTAAAAAAACCCCACCAACACCCAGATTTAACAGGGAATTATTACATGGAGTCTTTTCAGTAACTAAAGGTAGCAGGAAATAAAGAATTAGCAGTGTGTAGAAGTAATGGCTCAAAGATCTTTCTTCAAACTGGTGTTTTCCCCCATACATCTCTATAAAGTTGCCAAACTGCCTTGAACTTAACCACTGAACTGCTCTTTCCTTTTAAACCCTTACCTGTAAAGCTGTGTGTTTAAACAGAATATGTGATAACTTTTAACGTTGATGAGTGGGCACTTTTTAATGTATTGGAGAGCAAAACGTGGAATTGCTTATGTATTATGATAAACAGGAAGGGTGAATGACAGACAGACAAGCCTAACTGAAAATATAATGCCTTAAAAACCAAAATGATGTACATGATCTGCTACAAGGAATTGGATCTGATCTGAACTACTTACCAAGACAACAACAAAAAAAAAAAAACAAACCCCACCAAAAAATATTTATGTCACAAGTTCAGCTTGAGCAAGTGGTGGTCTTGCATGGGATGTTTTCTTGGTAGACAACGATTTGTAGTGATGCTTTAAGCCCCTAAGGGTTTTTTATTTTTCTAATATTTGTAAGCCTTATAAGTTTTATAAGTAGATTTTAAAAGCAGCAACCCTCACTCCCTCCCTTGTCCCTTTCCCTGTAGCACCCTTGTTTACACGTTCCTTAACCCTCTTACCCCATTCTATGCTCCCTATATCACTCCTACTCCCGATTCCAGTAGAAATGTTTAGTCTCTTGTCAAGGCAAGGCCTAGACTGTTTAGGGAACAGCTATATCAGGGCCTGAACAACAAAATGAAGCCAAGAATTAAGTAACTATGTACCCTTTGTGCTCTGAAGAAGATGAAGACAGATGAAGTAGGTGGTCCCAAAATACACCCCAGACCCATTTCAGGGGCTGAACCCGGGGCGGACCAGAGTAAAGGCCACAGGGTGGACACATTTGGGATTGGATGGAAGGTATTATAAAATCTAACATCTCAGGCACACCGTGTAACATCTTTTTGCCTTGGCATAATAAACCCTTTCTTAACTCACCCCTAATTAACTGCTCCGGAGATTTTTTTGAAGCACCATAAATCCCACGGCATCAGTAGGAGCAAACGAGATTTTTAAATCTTTTAATGTTACCTGTGATCATTTAGTAAAGCAGGTGTAGACACTTCAGATGTAGTTGCCTCTTGTCTACTCAGCCATGTTACTTCTGCATTTGTTGCGGATCTGCTGGCTGCGCTTTCCAGAGGTTCCAACTTGCCTTTGCCTGCTTAAACCCGGGACCTCTCCCTCCCAGAAGCTTGCTTGTGCTGGGAGATGTCCTTGCTGCAGCTTCACCCTAGTCTTTTTACTTCAGTGTTCCTCGAGTACTGGCCCCTTCTTCTTTAATGCCACTAATGATTTTGTAACCTTTGCTTGCCCTCTTGCTGGATCACGTCCTGGTGTTGTGACTGTCTTGGATTGTGGTGCTGTACTGGTCTCCCAGGCAGTGGCACGGTGAAAATCCAGCGTCTTCCGTGCCCTGCTGCAAAGGACAGTGTGCTTTTCTCTCCACCACCCTACCCTGAGTGTACAGGCCTCAAAAGTTATCTGTAATCTAGTAACTGATGAATGCTCTCACTTCTCCTGCTAGGTGCTTAATGAGCCTTCACCTAGGAGGGGTTGTAGGAAAACAGGAGCAGTGGAGACTTGTGGAAGGTGATGTACAAAGCAGTGAACAGTTTTGTTGATTATAGTGGACAAGCCTTTCTGGGCCTGACAGTAATGGGTGACTCAGACAGAGTGACTTTCACAGAACTATCTAGCACTTTTACTAGTTCAGTGTTTTCACCCTTTATTTTTGTATGCAGTGCATTAGCTCTTTGTTTCTGTAGCTGTATTGCTTTCTACCCCACACACCTTGAGCGCATTAGTAGCATTAGAGTACTTCACTGAAAAAGACACTCATGTAGGATCCCAAGGATGAGAGACACAGCAGGTTTGTGTCACCAGTGCTTAGGATTATTGCTGCACTTCTCATGTCCTTTGCTCTCTGAACTTAAACTACAGTCAGATTTTGTGCATTAAACATAATTGATAATTCGGAATATTTGTACTTGGCATTCTGGATTGAAATGACTCCTTTCAATTGCTGCTTATTTGCCGTGTGATGTCTTTTATTTTCAAGAACATTATTTTCATCAGTTAATGTATTTTTTTTAATCCAAACTGAACTGTGCAGACAGCTGTAGAAATACTGCAAGATCAGTGCTATTTTTGGCAGTATTTGGTTTGCTTTTTACTCTGCTTCTTACTCCCCTCCTCTCTCCACAGCACCGTTCATTTCTCCCCTGAAACAGAAGAATGCGCTCGGTCGCGCTTCTCAGCAGCTCTGCAGCCTGTGGAGAGTGTGGGCAGTTCCTGTGCGCAGCATCCTGGAAAATGTGCGTTCTCTTGAAGTGATCTGCTGGAAAGCACGTACTTGCTGCAGTTGTTCCAGCCTCTCGAGGTCTGAAATGCCTGGTCTCTGATAACTCCCTGGGATTTGCATTTCGTCTGCCGAAGGAACGCTACCTGCCGCGCCCGTCCAGCGAACCCTGCAGGGCAAGGACACTGAAAATGGCTCTGGGTGTTTTTTATGCAGTTTGGGGTTTGTTGCTAGAAGTGGCAATAGCATTTGGCCCGGTCCCGAGGATCACTTGGGAACACAGAGGTAAGAACAGCAATTTAAGCAGTGTAATACGGGACATTTCCACAACTCCAGGGTTTCTGTAGGATCTGAAACTCCTTGGAGCCCTGCGTTCTTTCAGCCAGTTTGCTGGGAGTTTGGTCAGTTATCGCTGGCTTTGCACAGTTTATGAAGGGCTTGGGACCAGAATATTCAAAAATTATTTGGGCACTGGGTTAACTGATTTCAGGTCCTTTGAGCATCTCTGAAAACAGAGCCTTTTAAAGGAAGAATTCCACATTTGGCTTTCTCAGCAGAAGGATCTTGCAGCTGAAGTTTGCTTCAAGAGAAAACTCCAATAGGTCTATTTTGTTTAAAACAAATTATTTTTACTCTGAGTCTGAACATGTTAGCAAAGTGTACCTCTCCAGCTAATAATCTTTTTTATGCTTTCTCAGTCTGAGATATATTTTGACACAAAGCCAACCTGTGCACTAAATAAATCACCAAGCAAAGGAAAAACAGGCATTTGGCCTTCTTCTGACAGTATCATATGGTGCTTAGATATGAAACAGTCTTTCACAGAACACCACTTTTCTTGTATTTGAAGTTGCAGCAAATATTCGTGACCTCCCAATACAGTTACAGGAGTCTGCAAATGTGGTGCCAGGAGAATTAGAAGGAATCAGAGGATCGTTTAGCCTTTGGCTCAATAATTTAACCTGAGTCTGAAAAGAGCTCTAAAACAAGGACTGTAGAGTAGTTATTTGCTGTTTGTGAATATAGTTTTTTTCCCCATTTTATCCCTGCTCCCCACCACCCCCCCCCTCCATGTGGCATGGATGCTTTTAGGTCCTTTTTTTACTCCTAGTTAGTAAGCAACAATTGTGCAGTAACTAAATAAAGCCAAGCAAATAGATTGGCCATGTGAAGAAGCAACCTTAAAATAAGGGTATTAAATTCTGAGAGTCCTACTATAGGAAGAGATAGATGGAGATTAAGAATGTAGTAGGAATAAGCAGATTATGAGATGACTGTAGGAAGTATTTTTCCTGATTATTAGCATAGCAATTAGTAGTTGCTGATGAAGCTTTTCAGAAACAGTGGTCTGGACAAGGCTTGTAGTTGCTTTGACTCTTTGATGCTCAGATCTTTTATAGTAGTTAAAATTTGGCAAGTTGCTGTTTATTGGTACAGTAGTGTACTGCGGACCCACATCCAAATTAGTCAAAATAAATGGAATTTATTTTCATTCCTGCTATTTCTCTGTGTCTGTCTGCTAAAGATTGTTGCATTTAAATATTGGAAACCTGCTCTCAATAGGAGAGGGAATTTTTAGTTCAGTGGAGTTGTAGGAACCAGTTCATACATTTAGGGAAAATCTTCCTGCCAAGTAAAAGATTTCAAAATTACATGCTTGAGAATCTAGTTTAAAATTAATGTTTCTTGAGTACTGTAGTTGAAAATGTGCAACTACTAATGTTAAAACTGGAAGCAATAATGCATTGTTTTCACCTATATCTTAAAAAACCATGCCTAATTAATCTTATGGTAGTCTCAATTTTCCATTATGGTTGTAGATGCAGAAAAAACCCCATTCTTTTATATTAGTCAGTTTGTGTCATCTTTGTCCAAGCTATTCTGGTCCAGTCTGCAAGCTTCCTCATTCCACTGCCTTTTCCCTCATGTCTCACTCTGTTTCTCTTCTTCTTCCTTTTCATCTTGATTTTTCCCTCATGCTGTTTTCCTTCTATTGTATGCATTTCATCTCTGGTTTTCATTTCACAGTCAGCTTATTGACCATCTGTAAATGTTCTCTTTTTAGCTTCTGTGTCTTCTTTCTGCTGTGGCAGTATGCTGAAGTGTCACCTTAAGGTGCAGGATATTTTGTAAGATTTGTTTGGGGCAGTTGCAAGGGATGTGGTGACCAACCTGATTTTCCACAGTAGGTTGGTATGTGGAAAGGAGAAGGTGAGAAAGAACCTGACAGTGAATGTGGAAAATGGAAGTTTAGAAAAAGCAGGTAGGAAAAAAAGTAAAGGAAGAAGTGAGTTATAGGGATCACCACGAGAGAAAATATTTAGGCATTTGACATTGAATGAGAAAGTGGGGACAAATGATTTTGACCTTTATGATGGGAGCTGCTGTTTCTGCTGAATCAAGCTTCTGAGGGGTCCCTCGTCTTCTACATGGGTTTTCTGAACTAACCTTTATTGTTTTCAAATTACCCAACAGGTGTTAGACAACTTAGAAAAAATGACTCATAAGCTTGAACCTAAGTGATTGTGTTTCTTCATGTGGTGCTATTTTTTTTTTCCATTTCAACAGAGGTCCAGCTAATACATTTTAATGAATCAAAAGTGTCAAACTATTCAACCTTGCTGTTAAGTGAAGACAAAAATGTTCTATATGTAGGAGCCAGGGAAGTGATCTTTGCCTTAAACGCAGTGAATATTGCTGAGAAGCAGCACGAGGTATGCATTTTAATACATTATCTCCCATATGAAAATCATGCACCAAATTTGACTTAATTACCTTAATATCAGTAGCATTGCACTTTAGGTAGCAGGTACCTAAAAGAGAAACCACTGTGTGGGCTACTCCAGTGTTATTTCTGGAAGATGCTGTAGAGTCAAAGAGAGGAAGAAAGGAGAAGTTGGATATAAACAAGTAATTAGAGGTATCCTTGGGTATTTCCTTCTTGTGGGCAGGATGCTGGACTGGAGGGACTTCAGGTGTCATCTGTAATGGTGGTTCTTACCCATATCCTTACTGTCAGGAGTGGGCCACATTTTGTTAATCTGAATCAGGGTCACCTAATCTGAAACAGAAGCACAGCTGGTGCTTGCTCAGGAGTGGCAGGCTGCAAATAATGGCCCTGTCCTTTTGAGTCTGAACTTCTGTTTTGTGTCTGGGTGTGTCTGCACAGCAAGAGGTGGTGCAGACAGGTCTGATCCAGCTTGCTCAGAGGGGTACTTCGGATGTGCTGATGGTGGCTTCTCAAAGTAGCGTAGCCAGGCAGAAGTCTGCTAATGTTGTATTGCTTCCAGTCCTTCCCAGGCTCCTGCTTCTCATCCCATCAGCAGCACAGGGTGACACGTAGAGGTGCAGCGTGGAGTCCCACCCAGCATGCCTTGGAAGATGCTCATACGATCTTTAATCTGAAGAACATATTCATGGATGGTGGTGGGAAATGTCACCAGCATATAAAACTTGTTTAATGGGTACATGTAGCTGTCAAAATTGTACTCAGTATAGTGTAAATTGGTCCAATAAGTTTTTCTTTGATTCCTCTCCCCTATATGTTTTTTATTCAAGTGTTAATGAAATTGAGAAGTATTTAAAATTGAAAATACTTAAAACAGTTACAGTTGCATCTCCCTAATGCCTGTGGTAATGAAAACTTTATTAGCAATTTGAGGGGAGTCGTCATTATGAACCCAAAAGATAATAGCAGTAGTTTAGTCCTGCTTAAGGCACATGAATTTGAAACTGTTACCTCCCTGGGAAAGAATGGCTTTGAACCTTTGAAAACTACTGGGATAATAAATAACTTGCATTTGCTGCAGATAGTTTTAGGATTGCCTTTTTCTGTGTGTGTGTGTTATTGCAAGATTTTCAGATCTTGTATTGAGTTGAAGTACTTTGAATGTGCCTTTTTGTTGCTTCTTTTTTTACTTAGTTACACTGGAAGGCCGCAGAAGATAAAAGGACAAAATGTGCAGTCAAGGGCAAATCAGAACAGGTACTTTTATTGAACTTTGGCAAAGATACTAAACATTGCAGTTCAAGAGAAGTGATGATGTTAAAAAAAGAAAGTATCCAGTTGTTTGAAATTAAATGTTGAAATAATCGCCCAGTTTTTCTAAATTAACTTGAGCATTAGAAATTGCAGCATGCCTAGGTTGGTGGCTTTTTAGTTTTGGGTTGTTTTGGTTTGGTTTTTGGTTTTGTTTGTTTGTTTGCTTGTTTTTTAATAGTTCATTATTTTTTGCCGGTGACTGTTATTTGAATGTCTGAAAATCTGAACACACTTTGTGTGTTCTAGTTTTAATGGTTTTCCATTTAAAATGCTAAAACAGTATTGCTTTCACTGAAGTAACTGATAGCAACTGTTGTGTTTTGTCGTTGCAATAATTCCTTCCCAGCATTTGGTTTTACAGAATGACCAATAATTTGGTTTGCTTTGCTTTAGGGCATAGGTGTCTGGTTTTTTTTTCACCCATTCTGTGTCCCCTTGTGGTGCTCAGCGGGTGTGCACCTTCCTTGCTCAGAGAGCACCTGAGCAGCTGACAGCTTGGCAGTGCAGGCAAGCTCAGCCCCTGGGATCCCTGGGTGTTTCTAGGATCCACTGACTCCTCATGACTGCCAGGGTGTGGTCTGGCTTGCTGGTTTTCCCTCTCTGTGGAGGTGGTTTACTCGAGGTAGTTGACTGTATGTGGATGTACCTTTCCCCTCGTGTAAAACCACTTCATTTAATGATGTGGCAGAGCGAGGGTTTGCTGGGCAAGACTGTCAGTCAGGCTTTTAGCACAGGTTTGAAAGTAGAATCCTGCAAGTCTGTGAATGCAGAAAGCAGTCCTACTCTGCAGTTGCAGGGATGTGACCCTTAAACCTGCAGCCTCTTCATTTCACGCTGTTACAAAACCCCAAGTGCTGCATCCAGGGCCGATAGGCATTCTGCCTTCATGGGCCTGCCCAGAGTGGGAGTGGGCTCTCTTCCCTCCCTTGGACTAGCTTACTGCTTTTCCTTCCACTGGTGACTGTCAGTACGTTGTCCAAACATGAGGCGTGGCAAATATTCTAAGGGCTGTTTCCTCCTTGGCTGCCTCTTCAGGATGGGGTCAGAGAATGTTATTTGTGTTTTCCAGGTTCAGTTGGGGTTGCTAGTAATAATACTCACTAACAGCCACAATGACTGTGAGATGTGAGTTTCTCTTATATGCATATGTTTAGCCAGCTGTGTGTGAATCTCCACAAGTCCCCTGCAGAGATTACTGGTGGGGTATGTTAGACCCCACAAAGAGATACTCTCTCAGAGCTCTAAATTTATTTTCTTTGTTTTCCCCTGTCCCCAGTTTAGCAACTCACAGTTGTTGCTGGCCGTGCTTTTCCCTCACTGTGCTCCTAACCATTTAGTATTCACATTTATTGTGAATACTAAAAAACATCACTGTGATGTTTTGCGTAGTCCAAGAGTTTCAAAAGGGTCAAGGTTTTAAGCCACTATTGCTGTTTCTTACACTCTCCCCCATCCATCACCACTGTACTGTGTAATGCCAGCAGAAAGCATTCATGCAGTTGTTCAAGGACCTCATCTGGCAGAAAACTGGTTTTACTCTCTTCCCCTCCATGCAGTTTTCTGCCATACAGTCACAGAAATACCTAGTTTGTCTCATAAGAAGGAATAGTAAGGCCAGTGCTGAAACTTGCTTAAGAAGTTTATAGAACAACAGTTCAGTGGTGGTGTCTGGCAGTATACTAGCAAGAATTAAGGGATGTTGCTGATACTGGTTTTCCCCCTCTCTAAGTGGGTGTTTAGAGTTGTTTTTCTTCGTTATTACTCTGAGTCTTTATGGTATCCTTTATTAAGGGTTTTGCTCAAATTCATTGTTCAGTTTCAGAGCCAAAGAAATTAAGAAGATTCCTTGAATGATATCAGGGACTGGGGGGGGAAGAGGGGAGGGGCATGGAAGGACAGCAGTAAGTGACAAAACTTTATAGCTAATTTAGGGGAATTACAGGTTTTGCTCTTAAGAAACAACCTTGACTGTCAGTGTTTCGTTGAGGTGTACAAGAGATGGTGAAATCCAAAACTCCATGTTTAACTAGTCATTGCCATGGATTGGATGTGTGTTTGGATGTGCTTTTGTAAAAACATCTTGAGATGGACCCTGCTGAGTATATGGTACTTGGTCATGCTACTCTGATAGCTGCACACGACTGTCTGTAGGAAACCAAATGCTGCAAGATTGATTAGAGCTCCTGCAGATTGTAGGGAGATGGTGCCCCAGTGTCACCCACGTGTCACCCAGGCTTCTCTGGTGTGTGGCAACAAGACAAGCTGACAGCACACCATCATCTGTTTATGTTGGAATGTGGAAGCCATGGTTTATCAGACTGGATCTCTCCTCATCCTCTCTTACAGACGGAGTGTCGTAACTACGTGCGTGTCTTGCAGCAGCTCAATGATACTTTTCTCTATGTGTGTGGAACTAATGCATTTCAGCCAACGTGTGATTACGTGGTAAGAAATCTTGTGTATGTTTTGACCCAGCAACAACTGTAACTTAAAAAGCAGCCCAAGTAAACAAGTTGATGTCCATTCCCGAAACTGTTGTATCTTCAGTGCTGGTTGTAAGGTTAGGAGCATTTATTGCACTGTCCCACCATAGAGTATGGAAATAAACTGTACTGTTCCTTTTTTCAGAGCACTTAATGAATTCTTGATTCATCTTGTCTAACTACGGATTTACTTTTTTGTAATTCTTTGCGTATTGTGTGCTAGCATAAAACCAGTTTCTGAAACTGAAATTACATTGTTTGTAACTTCCACCCATTACCAGATCTTCCCGAAATTTCTCAGATTCCTGTCTCTGCTTGTCTTTTGTCTCTGCTTCTGGCTATGCCACAGATTCATAGTGCTGAATGCTTCAGAATGAAGTCTTGGCACAAAATTAAAACTCCCTTTTTCTCACTGCTGACTCTTGTATCATTTTCCCTACTGCGGCTCTTAGCAATTCGAAAGTTGAGAAATCTTGTAGTTGTGCCTTTTTGTCTCCCCTGCTTGCAAGTCTGCCAGCCATCACCTCTGGAATATTGCCAGGAGCCATTGTTCTTAGCTTCCATGTCTCCATTACACAGTATAACTGATTACTTGCCCAGTACTGTGGCTGCAGTTTCATCATCATCTTTCTGATCCTCATTCTCTTGGTCTTTTTAGGGGATTTATAAAGTAACAGCCAAAATACTCTGTTGCTTTTTAAAGCCTTAGCTGGATTATGCCCTATCTCACAAATTTAACATAATCTCGAAAACTGCTAAATCCACTTCAGAAAGCCTTCTTGATTTCTGAGACTTTCTGTTTTTTTCAGGCTAATTCAATAATTGCCCGTTCTTTCCATATATCAATTAACTTCCCTGCTGTTCCTGGTGTCTTTCTTGGGTGCTTTTTCTTGAGGTCTGTCTGGATTTAACTTTTCATCTTCTGCTCTTTTCTGTTCTTGGCCTCACAAATTACAGGATCACATTTCCTCTCTGTCCATGGGGCTTGATAAGATTTTCCAAAAACACATATGGCTTTTATAATTCTACACAAAATGCCTTTGATGCTGGTGGTTGATGATATAGCCCAATATTTAGTGTTTAGTTTTCAGTTAATTTTGCATGAGCTGAGTGGCTGAAAAAGTGCTAACAGTTGTTTTGTGTTTTTCAACTTGATTTTTTTTTTTTGCAGAATTTAACTTCATTTGAACTTGGAGGTAAAAATGAGGATGGTAAGGGTAGGTGTCCATTTGATCCTGCTCAAAGCTACACATCTGTTATGGTTGGTAAGTTCAGACTTTGCCTGCCTCATTCTTATGTATAAAAAAACATTGTGTCTTTTCCACTGTCATGCTCCAGTTTGTCAGTGTCAAAATGGTAGCTTGCATCCATATTTTTTCCCTTTATTGTGTATCCGTAAAGATGTTAAAATACTTATTTAGTCAACCTTAGCGTGTTTTTAGAAGGAGAACTTAAAAACTCTAGGTTGTTTTGGAAGCAACTTCTAAAATACTAATTTTCAAACTGTGTTTTCAAATGTTTAACATATTTAGTCCAGGTAGTCTGAATGTACTTGGCTGCATTTGTAGCATCCATTAATGCAATTTCAGTAAATTTAACAAGTGGTACTTTTTAGCTGTCCTGAAGACTTATCCATAAGACAGAATAGAGGAGTGAGATATTGATTGCAGGCAGACTTACTGCATAGAAAGACACCCCTGAATCTCAACCTGGGGGAACCAGAGTTGATGGATTTACTGTTGTGTCACAAGATCATGAGAGAAGCTCAACATAGGATGAAACAGGACATGAGAAACACAACTCCCTGCACGGTGCCTACGTTTTTAAAAGTTGAATTTGAACAATGGTGGCATAGAAAGAGAGAAGAATAATTCCAGACTTCTGATGCATTTAAGTAAATTTGCATGGTTTTACATGAACTGTAGGTTTACATGTAAAGTGCTAAAGTACCACAAAAACTACTCTGAATTTTGTCAGTTCTTGTATTAGAGCATCAATAAACCACACTCTGGAAGTGTTAGGCTTCAGCACAGTCAGCAGAAATGTAAACATAAAATACATGTCCAGGGCAATTTAGAGGAATTCCTTGTTTGTCTTTTCTTGTGGGAAGCTTAAGCTTACATAGACTCAGAAAATATTTATGTACCCTTTTTGGTATCCAGTCCATAAGATCTAAAATACTTGATTTTGTGTTAAAGATGAGGAGCTTTATTCTGGGACTTCTTACAATTTCTTGGGAAGTGAACCCATTATTTCACGGCACTCTCATCAGAGCCCTCTGAGAACAGAATATGCAATACCTTGGCTTAATGGTAAGTGGGCATGAGAACTGACCCAGATAAATTACTTTTCTTTCTTCAACCCCACACTGACAGAGTTTTCCTGGTTGTAAGGAGCAATTGTCTGATAGAGAGAATGGATTTTGTTATACTGGCATACCCTGGCATGTAAGTGTGTGCCCTCATGCATGCCAAGAGATGTTGTTTTGCAATTTTAGGATTTTTATCAGCATTGACAATGAAAACAGCTTCGAGATACACAGGCTTACTCTGGACAATAATGGCTGCAGTTTATTTTACATCTACGTGTTCTTTTTTGCAATAACGCAGCTTAGTTATGATACAGTAAGGAAGGCAATGTTTTTGGTCTGGAATGGGTTTTCAAATTGAGCTGATCATGATTCTTGGTGATTTCAGTTCCTGAATTTCAGATTTCACTGAGCTTTGTGAACATTCAGAGGTTTGAGGCTTTGTGCCAAAAAGGACCAAAATCATGATCATCATAACCCAAAAGTACAGGATAGTGAGTTTTGTAACACATGTTGTAATGTTGTTTTTAGTCTTTCAGCTGGTAGCTGAAATGGAGGGGAGGCAGGCAAGGGAGGTCGTGTCCTCCAGGCCCGTTAGAAAACCATGTTTGAGTATGGGCTGAAGAACATTATGGTACAGTAATAATCTCTTTACTTCAGAGATCTCTCAGGTATCTTAGTGCTTTATTTTAGGATTTGCGGGTTTGGGGAGTTTTTTTTTCTGTTCCTGGCTGTTTTTTTGTTTTGTTTTTGAGAAACACTATTCATATTAGGAACAAGAAACTGTGTAGGGAGGTCAGTGACTAGAGAGCAGGTAAATTCAGTGTGGAATTTGGGTGAAAGAGAACTCCTAGAGGGTCTTTGAGGGAATCAGGTTAGTAGTCTCATATGTAATGGAAAATTCTTCTCTTTGTGTCTGTAGAGCCCAATTTTGTTTTTGCTGATGTGATAAGAGCAGACCAAAACAGCACAGATGGAGAAGATGACAAGATATACTTCTTTTTCACCGAGGTGTCTGTGGAGTATGAATGTATTGGAAAACTGATGATTCCAAGAATAGCTAGGGTCTGCAAGGTGGGAGATAGTTCAATTTACTGTTACTATATCAACTAGAATTTTGTATATGTGTGTTAAAAAGCATTTATTTTTGTGAACTTACTGCCAGTTAACTGGAAGTGGTTGAATTTAGTGAACCTTAGCGAATCAGCAATTCCATTCAGTTCTTCAGAACCGAGAAAGCCTAATGGTTGCTTTGTGAATAAATGCTTGACTTAATTTTGCACAGTTATGAAATTTCAATACATCTGGGGGTTCTCATCTCCTCCGGGGGAAAACAAACCAACCGTGACAAAACCCAGCAACAGAAAAAGTGTTTCCTCGGGCTTCCCTTTCTTTTTTCTTTTTTTTTTTTTTTTTTTTTGACAAGAACAGCTCCCTGTGAAGAACTGACTTTGGTTGGAGCTGAGCAGACAGGATGTCTGTCGAGTGACTTTCAAGTATCTGTATGCAAACAGAACTGTAGCTGTGTCCACAGCAAAATAGTTCTTGACTGTGGTGTAGCAGATGGGACTTCTATGAAGCTCTTAACAGCTGCCAGAGCCTGAAGGAAAATGGTCACCAGCAGCCTGATTGTGTCACACTTGCTGTGCTTGAACCTCAGTGGGTTAGGCTGATTGAAGTATTTCCTCAGGAGTGTTGGTTGAAAATCTTGCTGATGAAAGTTTTTTTTTTCTCTGGTATAAGACGTTGATTTAACAAAAACTTTTTCAGTGGAATGTATCAATTTCCTCAAGGTTTTTTTTTTTCCAACAGGAAATTTATCTCTCCGCCTCATTTTTATGAGGTTGAAAGTTTTATTTTGACTTCACTGTTTTATATTTAAACATGGAAGCCAAAACATAAATGAAAAGTTAGTGCCCTTGAGACTTCTGTTAAACAAGGAGCTGGAGGCAAGTTTATGTTGGGCTTTTTATGACCCTCTACCCACTGACAGCTTGTGTATGCTTTAAAAGGGGGTTGTTGTGGAATATGAGAGCTTCATTATTATATAATTATATAATTCAGACTGTTCTGTTTCAAATAGGAGTCAGTGGCAAGTTGCAAATCCATAAGCATTTATACTTAATTGTTTTAGTAAATCTTGCATATTTTCTTTAGTACTTTGCATAACACCTTCGGATAATGAATGGGAACTATCAATGCAGTTTCCATATGCCCTGCTTTTTGAAGTGGAGTATCAGAGCTACAGCTTGATTAGCAAATATTTTGGAACATTTCTTGTCAGTGTATCTTAACTTCTTTAAGCCTTGGTACTGCAAATCCTGAATAAAGGTGGTAATTGCTAGCAGGACTAAACCATTGCTGCTTTTCTTCTAATGAAAGTATCAATGTCAGGCAAGTTTAAGGGCATATTGCAGCATTAGAATTTAACTCACAGTTTTGATGTCTTAGAAAAAATGCAATATTACTTATTTCTCTAAAGGGACAGTATAGTACTTCCACCCTTATTTTACTTGTTCTAATAAACAGCTTTTTCCTGATGGTGCATTGCCCATCTCAGTTTTTTCAAGTGTTGCTGGAGTGTGGTTCTTCATTAACTCTCATATTCCATGTTGCTTGTGTGTGTGATAGAAAAAATTCTGCATTATTGTTGTTGAATCAGTTTTCCTGTGGCTTTTTTACTGTTCTGTTTGTGAATGTGTTAACATTTATTGATGGTTGCTATAGACGAAATGTTAGAAAATAACATAGCTTAGTAATTTCGTGCTATAGCAGTGGTTCTTAAATGCAAAAATGCTGCTAGTTCTCCTCACAAATACCTTTTTATTTTCTTTTAATATCATAAGAGGGACCAAGGAGGATTAAGGATCTTGCAAAAAAAATGGACGTCCTTTCTCAAGGCCAGACTGATTTGTACCATCCCTGATAAGAACTTAATTTTCAATGTTATCAATGATGTTTTTATTCTCAAGTCTCCGACTTTGAAGGAACCAGTGATATATGGAGTCTTCACCCCACAGCTGTAAGTGTGGTATAGCCTTTTCCTGGATAAGTACCTTTAGTGTCAGTTGGTTACTACAAGAACTAATAATTGCTCCTGTGTTTTTGTTTTTTGTTTGTTTGTTTTGGGGGGGGTTGTTTTTTTTTTTTTTTCATTTCTTGCTGAACTTGTAGGAATAACGTGGGGTTGTCAGCAGTGTGTGCATACAGTCTGTCTACTGTAGAAGAGGTTTTCTCAAAAGGAAAATACATGCAGAGTGCTATAGTGGAACAGGCTCATACAAAGTGGGTACGATACAATGGGGAGATCCCTAATCCTCGACCTGGTGCGGTAAGTTTGGGAAATCTTGGATCTGATGACTTTTTTTTTTTTTTTTAATGCTCAGAAGTAAAGAGACTAGAAAGCATTAGGTAACCTATTAATGAATTATTTGTTTGCCCTACCTGGTTACTTCTTGTTGCAAAAAAGCGTACGAAAGCAGTGAAGTGATATGTTCTGAGCTTTGTACCTGGGAACCAAAGTGTTTGTTTCTTTTTAATTTAGTATTGAGTTATTTACTGGTTTGGGATTTTCGTTATTTTGTTAATAATTTTCTGCTGGTGAAACAGAATATATATACACTAGAAATACTTTAGAGTTCAAATGAACAGAAGTACAGCAGCTGTTGCATTGTCTCTGTAGGTTCAGCATGTTTATCCAACACAGTGCATTGCTCTACAGACTAAACTGTTCATAGTGCTCAGTCTCTTTCAGACTTTTCTTACTTCCTTACATTCCTTAAAGTCATCTTGTTGCTGGTGCTGAATGAGGTGACAGCTAAAAGCAGTTAAAATGTGTGAGAGTTCCAGAAGGAATATCTTCCTAGAATGTATTTTGAGCCCAAACAAAAATGTAGTCCAAGGCTCAGGGATTAGTACATCACAGAAGCCAGAGTGCTATGAGACCTGAGGACTTGCCTCACTAGAATAAGTGTAGTATGAAGGTGTGCTTGCTGGCTAAAGTGATGCAGAGAAGAAAATGCATACAGCTGTGTCTTTGTTTTGTTCAAGTAAATGATATAATTTGCTTGTCTCTGTCCTCCTGCTAGTGTATAAACAACGAAGCCGGAGGATCGAGCTACATGAGCTCGCTGAATTTACCAGACAAGACACTGCAGTTTGTTAGAGACCATCCTCTGATGGATGACTCAGTGACCCCGATGGGAGACAGACCTCGACTGGTAAAGCAAGATGTGAAGTACACACAGATTGTGGTAGACAGAGTCAGAGCACTCAATGGCACCATGTACGATGTGATGTTCATCGGTACAGGTGAGTTCTGCAGAAGACCTCTGTTTTAAGGGTATGCTGGTTCTTTAGTTTTCAAAGGAAGCTCTTGAGATTTCCATGTTTGCAGTGCTTGTAGAGCTGGTGTTTCCATTAAAAGGCAAGGTGCCACAGTAGGTGGACAGTCTTAACATAACGTTGAAAAGGTATTGCAGGAGAAGAACTACAAAGCTGCATGAGGGCAGCAAAACCACACAGAAGATAAATCCCTAAGTGGTCGTTCTGTGTGCAAAAATGTTTTCTTGCTCAGAGCTCCTGCTGATGGCAAATTTAATGGTTGCCTTTGACACAGAGTTATATGAAGTCTTCATCTGAACAGCAAGCAGATTACTGAGACAAGTTAAAGCAATTGTGCAGGTTTTTTTCCCTGCCTTTCTGTTTTAGGGATCTTACTTAAACATATTGCTCTGTTGTTTCAGATCGGGGAGCCGTGCACAAAGCTATCAGCTATGAAAATGGAATGCATATTATTGAAGAAACACAGTTTTTTCCAGATTTTGAACCAGTCCAAACTCTCTTGCTTTCATCCAAAACAGTAAGTGCTATGAGCATCACAGCATTCATCTCATTTTTGTTCTTCCCCAAAACTTTTAAGTACCACTTAGTAACCTTGCGACAGGAGACCGTCACTGTGCACCTACCCAAAAGCTGCATTTGTAACTCATGGTACTGCAGCAGTATCACATATTGCCTGCTGCATTTCAGTCTGTTTGGTAGGTGCCAAACTTCTAAATGTATGTGGACATGGGGAAGGGGTGTGGGGTGGGCACGAGTGTGCAGGTCGTCACTTTGATTCCATGTGCAGAAGCTGAAAGCTGTAAGGTGTTCCAGAATACCAGACTGCGGGTTAGGAGTAATGTAAAAATCCCGACCTCTTGTGGCCATTGCAGGTCTGCGAGGAAAAATCCTCTCCACTGCCCTAACCAGTGACTCGTAGCATCAGACCCCTCAGACAGTGAGATTTCAGGGACTGAAATGCCTCTTTTGAAGTGTCTGATCGTAATGCCAGCATTCAGTAGCTACCCAGTGAAAGATAAGTTCTCTGCAGCTTAGGGATTTAGGAATACTGCCAACATATCTTTGAAACAGCTTTTATTTTTCTGTGATATTTAATAGAACTTTGCATGTCAACATGATCAGCTCAGTGGAACAGAGCTTTATGTCCTAATTTTACAAGCTCAACTTGCATGCTTATTTGTCCTTTCATGCTTACAATAGGAAGAAGTCATGAGGACAGAGCATATTTTTGCTGGACAAACGAAAATCAGGATTAAAATCTTTCGTACCTATAGTTTTCAGTAAAGGTGTTTGTATTATTTTTGTATGGTGCATCACACTGGCAGCTCTCTATATAGTGTGGATATATATTATGTGTGTGTCTACATATGTACATTAAGTATTTGCTGGTTTCTTCTGCTTTATCTGCAAAGAAAGCTTCAAGTGTCTTGTTTTGACAGGGGTTTTCCAGGTTTACCCTATGATAGAAGATAAGGATAGATGACTCCTCCAATAAATAGGCTAATGCCCGTTCTTCTCATTGTGGGATCATTCATACACTGGCTTAATTATGATTCCTCCATTTCTTGGACATTATAAGCTTATACCAGACATGTGATGTAGCAGTTCCAGCACGTGCTTGGTAACCAAAACTAGTGTAGAAAAAATGGCATTGAATGTATTCATTCTGAGTCCAGATGCCACATGCTCAGTTCCCCAGGGGCATCCTGAATCATGGCATAGAGGGTGCATAGGGAATGCACTGCCTTTTCACAAGGAAGCTTCTCTCAGAGCTTAGAACTGAAACAAAACACTGCTTCCTGATACAATTGTTGACACATAAAACTAAACCCCAAAACTGAAACAGTGCTGCCCAGTACATTCTCATAAAAGCAGGGCTCCTTTTCAGTGATGATGAGTGGGAGATTGGGCCAGGCATGAAAGCTGTATAGTCATGGTACCACCCAAGCAGGGATTTACAGCTGCTCCCCAGCATGAAAACACAAGTTTCTGCCACAGTCAGTGGCTGCTGAAGTCCTTCCTAGAGCTGGTATTTTGATATATGTCATGGCATCCCATAGTAGTGGATTAACCACAGAAGGGTAATAATTACCCTGATGGTGGGATTTAGACCTCTCTGGAGTCAGAGTCCTTTCTGAACACATTTTTCAGTAGTTTCCAGGTTTTTCCCACATTGTTTAGTGTGCTGGGCAGAGTCAGATGATCCTACAGTAGATCTTCTACTTGACTTGAAGGTTTGTGTGGATTTTTTTTCTAATGGTCTTCTCAGCTTGCTGCATGTTCCATGAACTCTTGGATATATGAGCTGGGAAACATGAGAGACACTACAGTGCATGCACAGTGTGGCAGCATTATCTAGAAGAGCACAAGAGAGATAACAGTGCTTCGTACATGGGGGAGCCTTTGACAGAGTGGGAAGCTTTTCCTGGGAAGTAGTACATCTCCAGCACTGTACACTTCTTCCATGGGCAGTGCAGCGTAGTCCAGGTTAAAGTTCAGGATGGAAGACTGCACGTGGATGGATGTTCAACTATCTTTCAAACTCCAGTCTTCCAGCAGATTCTTTTTTGATCCTGTTCTGCCTTGCATTTTCCAGTGCAGAGAGTGTCCTTGAAAGCTGTCTGCACATTTCATATGTGAGACCAATCCAAAATAATTTGTGCTTTGTCTTGTAGCTTCCTCTGGAGACTTTCTCATGATCACTGCATTAAAGACACTGACCTGCTCTGAGTTCTCATGGCAGAACCTGCTTACATACTTAGCAAAAGAGCATCAGTGAGCCCCAAAACCTAAATTCGCCCCTAAGATAGTCTGATAGTTGTTTTCTTGAGGCTTTTTCTCATGTTGAGACAAAACTTCTGCACCATGAACATGAGATTTTTTGAAGAATGTTTCTCTACCAGAAGTCTCTCTTGGATGTCTCCCCATCATTTTGTGACCATGCTCATTCTGCCAGAGTTAAGCAGTCCCCCTGCAGACATGACCCCTGAGGACATTTCTGTGCACTGAGATCTGTGTGACTGCAGTACAGGAGAAGCCACTCTGTGCTTGGATCTGGCCCATTTGCTGTGGCAACTGCAGTAGGGTGCTGATAAATCCACTTGGTGTTCTGCTCAGGATGAAGCCAACCCACTGCCAAGGTGGGGTGTGCCACTTGGCTTTCTGTGCAGAGCCTCTCAGAAGGAGGTGGTTGGTCACTGGTGGTTTGGGGTTGCAGCACAGGTCCCCTTTCTTCAGTCTTTGCCTTGTAATATGTGAAGTCAGTGTAGCTTTAGCCATCAGCTTCCCTGAGCTTTTAAGTAGATGAGTGAAATATGGCAGCTGCCTGCCTTTTGTAGGAAGAGTGTTTGGACTGAGTCTTTTCCTGTTGTGTCAGAGTGACACTTGTTTGGGATCCCAACAGCAATGGTTCAACAGGTGATATGAAAATATTCCCCTTTTCCTTGGTGTCTTGCCAGTGCTGTTTTCCTTTGAATACTGCCAGTGTTCCTCCTTGAAAAGCATAAAGCTGATGCTGATGTGGCTGCAGAGGCCTGGGTGGTTGATGGAGCTGAAGGCAGTAGGGCTGCTTTGGGTTAACAGGAGCAGGTCCTACAAAGAGCCTGGTTAGGCTTTCATGTGCCTGCTGGAGGCTAGTCATCCTCACAGTCTTGCCATGCCTCATAGAAGGATTGTTGGAGCATTCATATTTCTGGAAAAACTGTGTGATAAAGCCATGGTTAGACATGGTTATTTTCCATTGTCATGAACTGTATCTGTTTCAGGTTTTTGTTGGTTTTTTTGCACTTTTGGCATTGCTGCAATATTTTCAGCTTAAGTTTCTAGAGATAAAAGCTAATCAAATGCTTATTCCCCTCATGCACCAGTTTTTACAAACATGGCTGAATGTATGCAACTCTTTAGTGATACTTAAAGCATGTAATGAGTTTTTGGCTTTGAGGAAGTGATCGACTGTGATTTCTTTCTGATTTTTTTTGATTTTTTTTTTTTTTACTTTGTTTTTCTTTAGGGCAGAAAATACCTCTTTGCTGGCTCAAATTCTGGTGTGGTTCAGTCCCCAGTGGCGTTCTGTGACAAGTACACCACTTGTGTTGACTGTGTTCTAGCAAGGGATCCTTACTGTGCTTGGAAACCCCTCGAAGCTTCCTGCGTTGATATTTTTAAAGAAGCTGAAATTGGAAGGTAATGGTAGCATTTGATGACCTTGCAGTTACACTCAGTATTGAGTCAGTCTTGTCCCTTACCGATAAGTGGAATTTTGAAAAGCAAATGTTTTCAAATAGAGACTTTTTTCTATCCATTTGTGTCTGCTTAGATAAGTGCTGTTTAGATAAGATGACTGACTTAGCACAAGGGAATGGGCAGGCTCTAGGAAACAGGATTTGAAGTTTTAATGTTTGGGCTTCCTTTTACAGGAACTGGATTCAGAACATAGGTGGAGATGCATCTTCTTGTTCTGGTGAGTTAGTCTTTGTAGAGCTCTTTCATATGCCTAGGTGGAGTAGTGAAAGAGTTGTGCTTAGTTCATCTTTGCTTTTGTGATTACCTGAACATGCGTTTACATTTTTATAGGTATGAGATTCTGCTTTTGAATATTTGAGCATCTGTACAGCCTGCATGTTGTCTTAAAAATGTCTGTGTTTGTATGCATTTCAGTGTGCAGTGCACAACCCCCTGAAATGAACGGGGGCACCTCAACAGTGACTTGTGAATGAAAGCAATACCAGAAGTACTTCTATTGCAGAGGCCTCTGTGATACAGCATTTGACGTTCTACTGTGAGCCTTGACAAGTGCTTGGTTATTGCTGCTAGATCAGATTAAGTGATTTGGAAAAAAAGCTGATTTTATAGTGAGAGGGGAGGGGGAACTTGGAACACAGTACAGAGCAGCTGAAGTACCTTTAAGTGCTTTAAGACAAGTAATCACAGGTCCTTTCTTTATAGTGTGTGCTGCTGCCACCAGATCAAGGACATCTTAAAGAGGCAGCAGTGTTACAGGCGATTTGAGCTGCAGTAAACAAAGCTCTTAAGAGTTTAATTTACCCCCAAGTTCAGTATCTTGCCTCAGTGACTCATCTCAAGTGCACGCTCATTTGTGGATCAGCAAGGTCTCATCTTTGTCTAGAAGTGTAGGCTCTCTTAGAGTTTGAGGTGTCCTATCTCTTAGTCTGTGTCAATGTTTTGCGTGCAGCTGTAGCTTGGTATTTCACTCAGATTCTTGCATGCTGTCATCTTGGTCTCGTGAGGTGAATGCCATAACCTTCACACTTTCTATTAAGACTGTAACACAGTCCTGTGAAGCTGTACAGATTAGAGAAGCTGGAATCATTGCTGATACTCTGCACATTTATTTTGATGTTCCAGATAAAGTAAGAGAGAATCCCCTACAGCATACATTCAAGCATGGGAGCACAGCAGAACTCAAGTGTTCTCAAAAGTCCAATCTGGCACAGGTAGTTTGGAAGTTCAAAGATGATGTGCTGAGAGTGGAGAGTCCCAAGTACCGTCTGCTGGAAAAGGCACTGCTCATCTTCAATTTATCAGAAGGAGACAGTGGTGTTTACCAGTGTTTGTCAGAAGAAAAAGTGAAGAATAAGAAATTTTCTCAAGTGCTGGCTAAGCATGTTTTGGAACTGAAAAAAATACAGCACACCATGGTGGGCCCCACCGCAGCAGCTGCGCCAACAGAAGGTAATAGTGATGTGCCAAAAGCGTCAGCTGTGTCAACCGAGGGTTCCACTGCTCACAGCTCCACCACTCACATGGTACCAGTAACGACAGCAAGGATAGTGACAAAGCCCATTGGCCCTGTCCTAACAAGTGTAGCCTCCAACACAGAGCTCTTCAATTCAATTCCCGATGCGGTCCCAGAAAAGACGATGTTCCTCAAGTCAAACGACAACTTCTTGTTGATGTTCCTCTTCCTCTTCTTTTTCATTCTGTTTTTGTGCCTGCTCTCCTACAACTGCTACAAGGGGTACCTGCCGGGGCAGTGCCTGAAGTTCCGCTCTGTCATGCTGCTCGGCAAGAAGAAAACGAAGTCGGATTTTTCCGACTGCGAGCAGAGCGTGAAGGAGACGCTGGTGGAGCAGGGCAGTGTGAGCCACCAGAGCGGGGAGCAGCCGAAGCCCGCGCACGACACCGGCTACGAGACTGAGCCCGACTGCGGGAACAGCCAGCTGCAGGCCGGGGACTCGCAGGCGTCCCGGGAGGCCAAGGACAAGCCCTTCGATGTCAAGTGCGAGCTCAAGTTCGCGGACTCGGACGTGGAAGGGGACTGAGGGCCGCAGGCATCCCTTCCCTTTCCGAGGTGGATGCGAGCTGTGGTCCCACCGTGGCTGTCGGAGCACGGGCGGGGTGTGACGGGCTAAGCCATAGCGGGGTTTTCGTGCTTCAGCTGTACAGCAAGCCAGTTTCCATTCAGATCTCAGCAGATTAGAGAAGCGGTGTTCTTGTCTGGAGACCGTGGCATCTTGTGTTGTACTGTCCTTTCTTTTTAAAAGTTTTTTTAAATGGCCAGTTTCAGATCACCACTTGTTTATTCCCAATTTTTTCCCCCCACTGAGCGCTTTGCTCTAGTGAAGCTACTTGCTTGTTCTTTGGCCATGTTCTTCCATAGAGTAAAAGTAACTTTTTAATTCAGTTGGCTTTAAAAAGTACTTCAGTCTACACACGTTTTTAGTTGCCATTAAAAAAAGACCTAGTTTCATTTTAATTCCAAATTGGAAATTGAGTTTAGTTTATCAGATTGGTAAATTATAGACTTTTGTCCAGATTGGGACATTTTTTTCTTTGCTTCTAGTGATTATTTTTAGTTTTATGCTTTGTGTTTTGGCACACTAGATCTCTTTAGTTGGTTAAAGTTAATTTTTTTAACTACTTTTTAAGTATCTTAGATTTTAAGGTACAATGGGGATAGCATTGCCTTGATTTGTGTAAGACTCAGGGATAATCTTGTTTAAAGGTTTTTTTCTTTGCTGCTTTTTAGAAATGTAGGTACAACAATATCAGTACAAAACATGGAGTAAGTGGGGAATGGGGAAGGAGGAAATAAAT